CTCTCCCACCTACCCCCACTCTCTTTCTTCATCCCCCCACTCTCATTGCGATCCCACTCTTTGCGCCTCTTCCCTCTCCCTCCCACCTCCCCCCACTCCAGACTTCTTCAACTGGAACGCAATGGACCTTACTCCATACCCACACCCTCACTGAAACCCCCCTGCTTCCACCTCTCTTTCCTTCCCTTCCACCTCCTCCTTCCTCCCCCCCTTCTCCCCCTCCCCTCCCCTACCAGACTTGTTCAACTGGAACCTGGTATGTATCCATCCGCTACTGTGATAGAACTTCCTTCATCCCCCCACCCTCATCAAGAGTCCTCTGCTTCCATCCTTCTGTCTGCCCACTCTCTGTGCTCCCTCTCCCCTCCTCTCCCCTCCTCTCCCCTCCCCTCCCCTCCCCTCCCCTCCCCTCCCCTCCCCTCCCCTCCCCTCCCCTCCCCTCCCCGCCCCTCCGAGACTTGTTCAACTGGAACCTAATTTGTATCCGATCCGTTACTGCCATAGACCTTCCCTCCCCAACCCCTGTTCCCTCCTCTTTGCTTCCCCCACCCCACCCCCCCCTCCCTCTCCAGACTTGTTCAACTGAAACAGGGTCTATATCCGCCGCTACTGCGATGGGGCTTCCTTTGTCCCCCACCCTCATTAAAATGCCTCTGCTCCCATCTCTCTGCCCCCCTCTCCCCACCTCCCTTTCCCTCCTCTCCAGACTTGTTCAACTGAAGCATGGTCTATATCCACCGCTACTGCGATGATGCTTCCCTTCCCAACCTCTGCTGCCTCCTCTTTGCTTAACCCTAAACCCCTCCCCTCCCCTTACCTCCCTTCCCAGACTTGTTCAACTGGAACATGGTCTATATGCGCTACTGTGATGGAGCTTCATCCTTCTTGCCTCCACCCTTTATACAATCTGCTTCCACCTCTGCCCCCCCTATTTTACCTGCATTTCCCCCCTCCTCCTCCCAGGCTTCTTCAACTGGAACATGGTTTATATCCGCTACTGCGATGGGGCTTCCTTTATCGGCAATGTTGACGAGCCAATCAGAGACCATGTGAGTGCATGGGGAGAAGGAGCACAGGGAATGGTGGAGCTTCTTTTATCGGCAATGTTGACGAGCCGCTCCGAGACCATGTGAGTGGATGGCTGGTGTGAAGGAGCATAGTAAGTAGCTTGGCTGCTGGGTTGGTGTGGTGTGAAGGGGCAGAGTGAATGTCAAACGTAGGACTGATGGGGCTTCCTTCATTTCATGGGCAAAGTTGACGAGCCGCTCCGAGACCATGTGAGCCGTTGGTGTGACGGAGCAGAGTGAATGGTGTGAATGTGAAGCGGCAGAGTGAATGGTGTGAATGTGAAAGGGCAGAGTGAATGGTGTGAATGTGAAGGGGCGGAGTGAATGTCAAGCGTATGATCGACTGATTGAGCTTCCTTCATTTCATTGGCAAAGTTGACGAGCCGCTCCGAGACCATGTGAGTGGATGGATTGTTCTGTATGCCATTAGTTAAAAGGCGCTTCAATCAAATTTTTGAGCGAGTGACAGGGCAAACGTCGGCAAGTTACTTAACTTTAAGGTAGTGCACACATAGTCCTTTCTGACTTGAAAGGAACTTGACTAACGCCGTCCGGGCTATTAAAGTTAGTCCTCGCTTGGCTCTTTTGAGTCCTCTAAAAACTCTAAGGTGATGCAAATAGTCCTTCCCGCCTAATGCTGTCCGGGCCGACGTGTCTTCATCGCCATTATCTCCCACCTGTTAGCCCACCATGGCATGCAGTCACCCTCTCATGTTCACTGTTCATCTCTAGTACCCCATTCCCCCTATCCCCCCCTGTCCCTTCACCCACGCAGGAAGGCAAGCCTCAGATCTACATGCGGGGTCGTCGTGTCTTCAATGCCATTCTCTCCCACCTGCTAGCCCACCACAGCATGCGCTCAGCCTCCCACATCCTCCTCTCCGGCTGCTCTGCTGGTGGCCTGGCAGCCCTCCTCCTGTGCGACAGCCTGGCTGACCGCATGAGGAGCTTGAGGGAGAATGAAGAGCTTGAGGGAGTGGGGAGAGGAGGGGAAAAGGGAGGAGTGGTGGTGAAGTGCATGTCAGATGGCGGGTACTTCCTGGATGCGAGGGATATTGGCGGCAGGCACTTCCTGAGGGAAACCATGTTTCTTCGGGTTGCTGCGTTTCATGTGAGTCGGCTGGCTGTGTTATGTCTGAGTTCCCTGCGTTGGATGCGAGGGATATTGGCAGCAGGCTCTTCCTGAGGGAGACCATGTTCAATCGGGTTGCCACGTTCCATGTGAGTTCAGTGTGGTTCGTGTGTGAGGTCGGTTGCTGTGTCACACACACGTGAGGGAGGGGTGGTGGTGAAGTGCATGTTGGATGGGGGTTACTTTCTGGATGCAAGGGATATTGGCGGCAGGCTCTTCCTGAGGGAGACCATGTTTCGCCTGGTTACCACGTTTCACGTGAGTTTGGTGTGTTGTATTTGAGTTCCTTCCTTGCGTTGGATGCGAGGGATATTGGCGACTGGCTCTTCTTGAGGGAGACCATGTTTAATCAGGTTGCCGCGCTCCACGTAAGCTCGTCTGGTTACATGCCGTGTTACATTACATGCATCCTCTGGTTTTGGGGGTTACTTCCTGGATGTAAGGGATATTGGTGTCAGAACTTGAGCTTAAAATCCATGCATTAGTAATGAGCTGAAAGCTCCTTAAGTACATTGGAAATGGGCAAGGTAAGGGTGGGGAGAGAGTCGAGAGCAATCCTAGGAAGTTGGGGGTAATCCCAAGGCAATCTCCAATGGGTGGGTTGGAGATTGCTTGGAGATCACATTTGGGTTTAGTTGGGATGTGGGTGTACACCCAACCAAACATAAAGTGCAAACTACACTTAACTAGGATATAAAAAGTACCAGTACAAATGTGAGATTGAGGGCTAACATTAACACCCCGGCACAGGCGTCAATCGAACTCATGGCAGAGAAGGAGGAGCGCAGAGCCCCATGGTGCCTAGAAGGCGATGATGAGGAACCTTCTCAAGGGGCTTGGTGAACAGATCATAGAAGTTGCAATCAAAAGCTACGTACTCCACATTGAGCTGCTCCCACTGGACAAGGTCACGGATGAAGAAGTGCCGAAGTTCGATGCACTTGGTGCGAGTGTGGTACATGGGATCCTGGGACAGGTGGATGGTGCTCTTGTTGTCACACCAGAGCGTGGGAGTGGGCTGAGGGTTGCCAAGCTTCTGGAGTAGGAAGTTGAGCTAGCGGGCCTCCTGAGCCGCCATGGTGCCAGCGTAGAGCTCGGCCTCACAGGAGGAGAGGGAGACTACAGACGACCGGGTGGAGCGCCAGCTGAAAATTCGGCTCCCAAGGGTGAAACAGTAGCCTTGGGAGGAGCGTCGGTTGGTCTGGTCATCAGCCCAGGAGGAGGCAGTGTACCCTTCCAGTCGAGGAGGAGAAAGCCCACCAAGGGTGAGGACATGAGACTTGGTGCCCTGCAGATCTAAGTGGAGAAAGACGCACGCGTCCTGCTGCGTCCAGACGCAGAGACGCAGGACGCACCTCGTTTTTTTTTCGGGCTGACCGGAAAAAAAAATGCCTCAGCGCGAAATTGACTTCAACGATTCCGACGCGACTGTCAATTTCGCGTCATGTCGACCCCCCCTAACCCATTTCGACCATCAAAAACACCCTAGAGGGCTTACCAAGACAATTCTCCTTCGTAAACCCGAAACTCTGGAAATGTAAAAGGGACGATTTTGCCTCAAATGTGTGCATCGTCGTTCCCCCCCCCCCCTTCCCATACCCTATGACATCATTTTTCGGCTGCCCGGAGTTTTTTTTTGCCCTACCTGGGCATGCGTCTTTTCATGCGTCCTAAAGGCCCTCCTCTAGCGTCCTGCGTCCAAGACGCTGCGTCTGGACGCAAGCGTCCTAGACGCAGGACGCGTCTTTCTCCACTTAGTTGCAGATAGCGCAGCACCCGCTTTGCCGCTTTCCAGTGAAGGTCGGTGAAGCGCCCAGGAACCACATACCAAGAGAGGACACTGTTAAGGTATGCCAGGTCAGGTCGGGTACACATCATGGCGTACATGAGGGACCCAAAAAGTTCTTGGTATGGCTCAGTGCATGCCTCTGGTGTGGGTACAGCTGGAGCGGCGAGGAGGTGTTGCAGCGGCACAGGGGTGGCCGTAGGTGTGCACAGCTCCATCTCAAAGCGCTTGAGTACATTGTTGATGTAGAACTCCTTGGAGAGTGGAATGGTGCGAGCATGGCGATCGCGAGTAGTCTCCATCCCCAAGTAGTGTTTGAGGTCACCGAGGTCTTTCATCAGGCGGGTCTTGCTCAAGGCCGCCTGGACAGAGGTCATCTGGGCCGAGTCCTTGGTTACAAAGATGAAGTCATCGACGTAGACAAGGATGTAGAATGGCTCAGAGTGACGATGAATGAAGAGGGTTGGGTTAGCTGAGGATGGGTGGCAGTCCAATGAGAGAAGGACTTCTTTCACTTTGTTGTGCCATTCCCGAGGGGCTTGTTTGAGGCCGTAAAAAAAGCGATTCAGCTTACAGTCAGTGTTGGGAGGGAACTCTCCTGGAAAGCCTTCAGGTCGAAGTCTCCTTGAGGTGTCCTTGCAGGAAAGCTGAAGAGACGTCCATGGATTTGATCTCAAAGTGGTCTCGTGCGGCTACATCCAAGAGCGTGCGAACTGTGGGTGGTTTGGATGTGGGAGAGAAGGTTTTGAAGAAGTGAAAGTACTGTTGCTGGGTGAATCCCTTAGCCACATAGCGTGCTTTGAACACGGGTGCCTCGTCCGGAAGCTACTTCACTCAAACAGCCACTTGCCCCCGACGATGTTAACTCCTGGAGGTGGAGTTTCATCGTCAAAGGAGTGGTTGCGAGTGAAGGCTTCACAATCAGCTTCCATGGCAGCACGCCACTCGACAGCATGTGGACCTGAGAGAGCTTCTTGGAGGGTGAATCAGTGATATCGGGGAAGATGTGCGAGAGTTAGGGAATGACAGCGTGAAGATCACACAGCTCCTCATACCTGTCTTCCAAAAGGGTAGAAGGCACACCCCCCCCCGCAGGAGGAGTCGGAGTGATCACTGAGCATCGAATGGCGAGTGCCAGCGGAGGAGCAGCCCCATGCGACCGACTGCCATGAGCCACCGGAGAGGAGGGTGGAGCGGGCGACACTGGAGGGGTCGGTTTAGGGGGTTTGGGCGAAGGGATCAGTCGACGCTGGTTGGTGACCAATTCGGGCGGTTGTGGGAGAGTGGGTTCCTGAGTGGAAGGGGGAACGGAGGGAGGAGGTGGAACCGGGGGTTTCGACCGCCGATGGTATGTGATTGGTGCACTTGGTAGTGGGAGCGCAGATGGTGGAGAGAGGGGAGAGATGAGGGAGCAGCTGCCGTGGACACCGGTGAAGACGGGTCAGAGACCTCAGAGTGGAATGGTGCGATGGCAGGAGAGGTAGGGGGTGAGGGAGCTAGTGCAGGTGGAAGTTCAGGAGGTGCATCAAAGTCAGCCCACACAAGAGAGGGTGGTCCGAGCTATGTTGGAAAAGTCGCGCCCAGCGCATTGTACGCAAGCGTATATACACTTGCGTATAATGCGCTATACGCTGAATGCCTGACCTTGAAAGTCGCGAAAAGTACGCTGCCCGGGCAGGATAAAACTTTTCCCGAGCAGAGGGGAAAAATCCCCTCCAGGAGGGGGGGGGGGAGAGGGGGGAGAGGGGAGGTTGTACCATACATTTTTGTTACAGAATAAAAACTTCAAATTTCACCTACTCTAATCTAACAACATGCATCTCCTACTTCCTCCCTCTACCCCCCCCTCCCCTTCCTTCCTCCTCTACTTGTACTCATCCTCCAGCTCTTCCTCCTCCCCCTCCTCCTCATCCTCCTCCAGAACCTCCTTGTACCCTTCCGGCAGGGGGGCCTCAGGGATGTTCCCCGAGCGAACCGTCACCCCCTCAGGGCCCTTGTGCCAGTTGCGCACAATGTTCCAATTGTGCGCAACATACACGAGGTCCCGACACTTTTCGGACCCCAACCTGTTGCGCTTGGCAGTGTGGATCGACTCCCACACTGCCCAGTTCCTCTCACACGCCGATGCGGACACGGGCTGAGAGAGAACGCGGCAGGCGAGCGTTGTCAGCTCGGGGTGGTCCGTCCCGTGCCACGTCCACCAATCCACGGCCGTCTTCTTACCGGCCTTCACGAGCTCACGGTCAGTGATGGCGTCAGGTAGGCCGAAGCTCCCCTGGAGGGTGTTGAATGCCGTCAGCCCGTCCTGGATGACGTGGGAAGCACGCAGCTCTTCGCCCTCCTTGCGCGTCACCGTCTGCCCCCCGAAGTGACGAGAGACAAACGCCTTGAAGACGCGCGTGCACTCCAGGTCGGTCCGGAAGATGCCTTCCTCTTGGTTGACCGGATTGAGGATCCGGCCAACCACGTGCATGGCACACGCCATGCTGTTGTCCCAGCGCTTCTGGACGATGTTGGTCACCTCCGTGCGTTCAGTGCTGGACAGCACCAATCCCGTCTCCTCCTCCTCCTCCTCCGTGAGCTGCAGCATGAGATCGTAGATCTTGCCCATCATGGCCTTGGCCGTCGAGTCGGTCTTGCGCATAACGAGAAAGGGGATCTTCAGGAGGGCGACGAAGAATTCCGCCCCTTTCCACCACACGGCATCCATGATCATGGCTGCGAAGGGCTCGACCGGCGGCTTCCTCCCCTTCGCCCAATCCCGCCACTCCGAGCTCAGCACCATGTCCGTCAATGCACTCCGCACCTCGCAAAGCCGCTGCACCGCGATGAATTGCGTGCCAAATCTGGTGCCCGCCGGCTTCAGCACCTGCTTCCCCCTCCCTCCCTTCACCTGCGGGCTTCTCATGTAACCTTTGGTGAAATGGTGGGCACGCACAAAGGTAACAATCAACCCCGCCTTTGCCACAATGTCCTTTGCCCAATCCATTTTCCCAATATCTTCCATGAGCAGATCCATGACGTGAGTCGCGCACGGCACATGCTCAATGTGAGGAAATTCTTGCATGAGCTCCCGACATGCAGCTGCGTAATTGCTGCCCCCATCCATGCAGAAGGCAACGATGTTGGCGGGCCCCACCTTCTCAATGATGGGGCGCAAAACGGATGCAATGTAACCTCCCGTCTTCGTCTCCATCTTACAGTCTATGCTCTCGGCGAACACAGCACCGGAGTCGTTGATGAGCAGGATGTTGGCTTGGGGACGGCCACTTTTGTCCGTCATCATGTCCGAACCGATCGTCACTCCATCCCGCTTCCAGCTCGCAGCGATGGGAGCGAGGCCCCGCTCGATCTTTCCGCGGCAGCGCTGCAGGCCGGCGCCACCAACATACCGCCGCTTCGGCGGAACGTAGCGATGGCCCGCGTCCGCGATGCTGCGCACAGCGTTGCGCCAGAGAGGGTGATCGGCGAGATGCTCTGGGAGGTGAAGTGCCGCCCACATGAGGCAGATGGCGTCGTCTGCCGAGTCTTTCGCACACGACGCCCCCTCCCCGTAAAAGTCTTCGATGCACTGCTTCTTCGATCCACCCGCACACGCCTCGATCGCCATCTCTTCCGCCCTCTTCCTCCCTTCCCTGCGGGCATTTTTACCTTCGTACAATTCGCGGACGGCGTTGCGGTCAGCAGGAGGGATCGGCGCCTTGCAAAGACGGACGTCCTTCCGTTTCAGCCCTTTCCAGCGCGTGATGTGTTGCGCACAACGGAAGGCGCCGCCTACGAACTTAAGCTTGCAATACCAGCATGTGCGGAGAGTTCGCTCAGGACCAGTTGAGGAACCTTCGGTAGAGGTAATGAAATGCTTAAAAATAACACGGGTGTTCTCAGGAACATCCCCGCCGTCCACCATGGTCGCGTCATTCGAAACACTAGGAGCCTCACTAGTGGCACTCGCGGGAGTACCAGTAGGAGTCGACATCAAGTGGAGCTGGGCGGGTGCGTTGAGAGAGAATGAAAGAGAGATACTACACATGACGGGAAACAGCTTACCTTATAGTCCACGCTGTGGTTGAACCACCTCCGCTGGTTGACGACATTCGTGTTTGTGTGTTGGAGTCGCGCGATAACATAGGGTGCAATGCGGTTCTGACTTTCCCACGTCCCCAACTTTTGACAGGTGTGGGTGACAATGTGTTTGGGAGGTGCGTACAAATTGGGTTGGGACGTGCGTACATTTTGAGTCGCGTCGCACATTCGCAATTCGTGCGCGACTACACAAATCTGGGTTTTTTTCCGGTCAGCCCGAATTTTACCCTACGAATATACGTACGAATTGCGTACACCGTATATTCGTTAACGCCTATACGGTGTGCGCTTATGGTTTCTGGCGACTTTTCCAACATAGGTCCGGAGGAAGGATCCCCCTTCGAGGAGGAGTAGAAGGGGCGAGTCTCGTCAAAGACGACGTCACGGCTCCGGATTAATTGTTGAGTAGAGGGGTTGAGGAAGAGGTAGTTAGGGGAGTCGGCGTTATGCCCAAGATAGATGCATGTTTGAGTTTTGGGGCCGAGCTTGCCACCTTGCTGCCGCCGAGCCTGAGGGTTGAGGAGGACATAGGCGGTGCACCCCATACTCGAAGGGGGCGAGCAGTGGGTGTTTTCCCGAGCCAAAGTGTGGTGGGAGTGGTGTCGGGAAGATGCGGGTGAGGGTAGAGGTTGTAGAGGAAGGCGGCATGGTAGAGGGCGTACCCCCAGAGTGACAGTGGTGCGTTGGAGTGGCTGAGGAGGCAGCGGGTGATCTGTGCCAACGTGTGATTGCGACTCTCTACGATGCCGTTCTGCTGCGGGCTGTCAGGAAGGGTGAAGTTTTGTAGAATGCCTTCTGAGGAGCAGAAGGCCTTGAGCTTATCGTTGCAAAATTCACCACCACCATCTGAATGGAGGGGCTTGACCTTGCGGCCAAAGGTGGTCTGCGCCAGATTGACCCACGCCATGATGACCCCTGGAGCCTCAGCCTTAGTGTGCAGGAGGTGCATAGAGACGTAGCGGGAGTGGTCATCAACTAAAGCAAAGAAATAACGATAACCACCTCGTGCGGCAACAGGGGCAGGGCCCCAGGCGTCCATGTGCACTAGGTCCAGTGGGGCTGCTGCGACTGAGGGTGAGGCAAGGTGGGGTTGTTGGCGTAGCTTGCTCTTGGTGTTGTCAATGCATGTGGGAGCGGGAGAGTCAGGTGGTGGAGGGAGTGAGGCTGGTAGGCCGAGAAGAAGTTTCTTGGAGGCCATGTCAGCGAGCGTGCGGAAGTTTGGGTGCCCGAGCCGATGGTGGTAGAGGATGTTCGGGTTGGAGAAGCTGCGACATGAGCATGGTGTGATAGCAGCCTGTGCTTGGGTGGTTGACACTTGTGGGATAGGTACTCGTAGTGTGTAATGGCCGCTGCTATTAGGGGTGAAGCGAGCCAAGACCTTGTTGTTGAGTGGGTCGATGATGTCACAATAGTCCTTGTTCTCCGAGGAGATGGTGCGTAACCTCACCTCCTGAATTTCTGTTTGAGCCACTTGATTGTGGCATAGTGAAGGCACGCACCTGCTAGTGACAGTGCCGGATGGGAAGGCGGGGCATGGGACAGTGGACGAACCCTTGGCAAAGGTGATGAAGCTTGAATCAACTCGCAAGAGAGGAATAGGTGTTGAATAGGGTTTGAATGAGAGTGTCTCTTTGGGTGGCCTCGCTGTCGAGTGTAAACTCTATGTATTGTGGTGCCTGCGGTGGGCCGATATGCTGCAAGGTTACTTCATTGATCATGGCGGTACCAGGGATTAACAAGTTGATAGTTGCTGAGGCGAAGGCCATGGTGAAGAACCTCTTTCTCATGCGAAATGTCTCTCTTGAATCACCGATAAGAACTTCGGGTTTAGGGTTTACCAAGGAGAATTGCAAAGTAGGGTTTATGAAGGAGAATTTTGAGGAGAGGTTTAGCATTTTCGAAATCCGAAGGTCCCGAAGAGCAAAGAACGTCAATGTTGGCCGCTTCAAGATGTCTCATAGGAGGTTTAAGGCCGGCGAAAATAGGTTGAAACGGCCGATTTTGGTAGTGTCGACTAACTACTAACCCTGTTCCCACACACCCCCCCACACACCACCCTCAGCTTCGCGGCTACACTGCTGCTCAGCTTCACTGCTACACGGCTGCTCAGCTGCGCAGCTTCACCTGTTCAGTTGCGGGGTGATGGAAGTGCTGTTGCGGGGCGATGGGCGGCAGCTCGAAGGTGACGCTGTAGGGTGACGGGCGGTAGCCCGAAGAGAAGATTCAGGGCGAAGGGCGGCAGCTCGAAGGGAAGCTGCAGGGCGACGAGCAGCAGCCCCACGATTGACGAGATGGGAAAAATTGGGTTACGCCGAAGCGAGAAGGACGGCGGGACAAATCCGCGGTGATGAGGGAGAGCGACGAGGAAATGGTGGCTACGGTTACCTTAAGTGAGACGCATAAATTGGTGCCTCGTAACTCAAGGAAAGGTAGTGTGGGAGAGAATCTACCCACGAAAGATGTCGCGAATCAACAGCGACGATGACGGCGCGGGAAAAATTCCGGCCGTGAAGATTAGGTTGATGAGGGTACTTTACTCGAGCGATGAATGTTGAAGGCGGCTTCGCCTAAGGGTGTGGGAGAGGATTCCGCAAAGGTAAAAGGATCAAGATCCGCATGTGCGGTTGAAGAGCTCTGATACCATGTCAGAACTTGAGCTTAGAATCCATGCATTAGTAATGAGCTCAAGGCTCCTTAAGTACATTGGAAATGGGCAAGGTAAGGGTGGGGAGAGAATCAGGGGCAATCCTAGGGGATTAGGGGTAATCCCAAGGCAATCTCCAATTGGAGGGTTGGAGATTGCTCGGAGATCATATTTGGGTTTGGTTGAGATGTGGGTGTACACCCAACCAAACACAAAGTGCAAACTACACTAAACTAGGATATAAAAAGTACTAGTACAATTGTGAGATTGAGGGCTAACATTAACAATTGGCGGCCGGCACTTTTTGAGGGACACCATGTTCCGCCTGGTTACCGCATTCCACATGAGTTCGCTGTGTTACATGTCAGTTGTGTTACATTACATGTGAGTTTGCTGTACTACATGTGAGCTCGCTGTGTTCCATGTGAGTTCCCTGTGTTACATTTCCTTCTCTGCCTTCTCTGTTCCCTCCTCTCCCCCCTCTTCTTATTCCTTTGCTCCCATCCCTTCCTTCCACCTCTCCCTCCCTTCTTACCCCTTTCCTCCTCTTCTTCTGCCATCCTCCCCTCTCCACCCTCCTCTCCTGACAGGCTGTCATCTCAACCCCCACTGCCTTACCCTTTCGCCCATCCACTAACAGTTCCTCTTAGTGCTTCTTTCCAGAGAACTTTCTCCCCTTCCTCTCCCTCCCCTCCCTTTCCCTTCCTCCCTTGCCTTCTCCTGACAGAATCTCATCTCAACCCCCACAGCCTCACCCTATCGCCCATCCACTGATATCTCCTCCCAGTGCTTCTTTCCACCGCACTTCCTCCCCTTCCTCTTCTTTCTCCCCTTCCTCATCTTCCCATCTCTTGCCCTCCCGATAGAACGTCACGCTGAACCCCACTGCTTTGCTTCGCCCATCCACTGACAGCTCCTCCTACTGCTTCTTCCCTTTCCCGTCCCCTCCTGACAGAATGTCATCTCAACCCCCACTTCCAGCTCCTCCTAGTGCTTCCTCCCCCTCCTCTCTTTCCCTTCCCTTTCCCGTCTCCTTCCTCCCCCTCCTCTCTTTCCCTTCCCATTCCCGTCCCCTGTTGTCTTCTCCTGACAGAATGTCATCTCAACCCCCACTGACAGCTCCTCCTCCTGCTTCTTCCCTTCTCAGCGCACTTCCTCCCCTTCCCTCATTTAGTTTCCCTCCCTTGCTCTCCTCACTTGCTCCCCTCCCCCCTCTGCCTCCTCTCCCCCAACAGAATGCCACACTGAATCCCCACTGCCTCACCCTTTCGCCCACCCACGGACACCTCCCAGTGCTTTTTTCTTAGCGCACTTTCTCCTCTTCCTCTCCTTCTCCCCCCTTTCCCTTCCCCCCTTCCCTTCTCTCTACAGAACGTCACTCTCAACCCCCACTGCATCGCCTCCCAGCCACCCGCGAACACCTCACAGTGCTTCTTCCCACAGAATTTCCTCCCCTTCCTCCACACGCCCTTCTTCATTCTCAACTCGCTCTACGACTCCTGGCAGGTAAGGCTTGCTCTTTTCTCTTGCATTTCTATTGCAAACCACCCTTGAATTCCTGCCCCACACCGCACCCTCCCCTTCCTTCACACGCCCTTCTTCATTCTCAACTCGCTCTACGACTCCTGGCAGGTAAGGCTTCCTCGCTTCTCTTGCATTTCTATTGCAAATTTGAGCTTTCTAGTTCGACTCAAAAACCGCTTTCTTTAACCTCAACTCGCACCCTCGCCCACTCCTTTGCATCTTTCATAGACTTCCCAGAAAGCGCATGGCGTGCGTGCCGTGCCGCGTGTCTGCAAGCTCTCTCAACCTCACCTTTTTCCTCTTGTACTGTGCTGCCCAACGCCCCCTCCACTCCACGCCATCCGCAGATCGCCCACTCCTTTGCGTCCTTCACAGTCCCAGAAAAGGCGTGGCACGTGTGGTGCATGGGCTGCTGCTGCAATCTTTCCTACCCTCTTGCATTGTGCTGCCCAACGCCCCCTCCACTCCACGCCATCCGCAGATCGCCCACTCCTTTGCGTCCTTCACAGTCTTCCCAGAAAAGGCGTGGCACTCGTGCCGCATGTCGCTGCAGGGGTGCAATCAGGAGCGGCTCGATCTTATTCATGGTACGAAAGCATGATCGATGTGCTAATAATGTCATAGATCCATGTGTAAGTAACAGGGAAGAACAACTGTACTGCTGGCTGGTTGTTAGGGTTAGCCCTTGCTCTTCTTGTCTCTCGCATGTCTCCATCTCATCACGTTTTTCATCTGTTCCTCTCTCGCCCTCGCCTTCCGTTGTCTCCCACTTATTGTCCTCCCCTTATTTTTCTCATCTTGTTTTTCTCCTCTTATTTTCCTCCCCTTATTTTTCTCATCTTGTTTTTCTCCTCTTATTTTCCTCCCCTTATTTTTCTCATCTTGTTTTTCTCCTCTTATTTCCTCCCCTTATTTTTCTCATCTTGTTTTTCTCCTCTTATTTCCTCCCCTTATTTTTCTCATCTTGTTTTTCTCCTCTTATTTCCTCCCCTTATTTTTCTCATCTTGTTTTTCTCCTCTTATTTCCTCCCCTTATTTTTCTCATCTTGTTTTTCTCCTCTTATTTCCTCCCCTTATTTTTCTCATCTTGTTTTTCTCCTCTTATTTTCCTCCTCCTCCTAGTCTCCTCTATCTCACACATTGCAACCCCACCCTCCTGCCCTTCGATCCTCTTGTCTCCCACTTCCCCCCATCTCACTCAGTCAAGGCTGCTCTTTCCCTTTTACCCCCTTCTCCTTCTTCTCCCACATTCCGCAGTCTCGTTCAAGGCAACCCCACTCTCGCCCTCACCTCCTCTCTCTCCCACGTTCATGTTTTGATTCTCCCCCTCTCGCCTCACCTCCTGCTGTCGCCCACGTTTTGGCCTCGCCCCCCCCTTCCCTGCGTTAACAGCCTATCGGGATGAGACGGTGGGCAAGGTGACGCCCCTCCTCTCCTCTCCTTCCCCATCCCAAGTTCTGCCTCTCACCTTCTCTCCTTCTCTCCTTATCTCCTTCCCGCCCTTCCCCCCCCCCCCCCCCCCCCCCCTTTCCCTGCCCCAACAGCCTATCGGGATGAGATGGTGGAAAAGGTGTCGCCCCTCCTCTCGTCCAATCGCAGCGCGTCACCTGTCCGGCGCCTGTTGGCTGCAGCATCAAGCGAAAGTTCAGCAAACGGAGCGTACCTCGTGTCTTGCCGAGCACACTGCATGGTGAGTAGGTGCAAAGATCTGATGTGATTGCATGGCAAAGAAATGCAAAATGTTTGATGGATAACAGCTGAGATTTGTTGACGTTGTGTGTGGGACCTTCGTCATTCCATATTCCCTAGAGTCTGATTTATGCCAGAACCCATAACAACCAATGTGGCATGCATGGCATGGCAGCATCACTCCATATTCCCAAGAGTTTATTCCATTGTATGGCATGTGAGATGGCTGTAGGGGGCATCGTCCCATGTGACGTGGTGACTTTGAGTCGACTCAAAAGCATCACTCCTCCCACATTCCATACTATGGCATGTCATATGGCCCCATGCGGCATCGTCCCATGTGACATGGCCCCATAGGGGCATGGTAGCATGGCATGTCAGCAGTGCTGATCTCCCTCATCTTTCCACACTTTCCATACTCCATGTCTATCCCATGTTTCTTGTCTCCCATTCACGCATGAGATCCATCCATCTCCAGTGTCCATCACACAGGTCATTTTTTAGGCGTCTCAAAAATCCATTCACCACACGCTTGTGACCCATCCATCTCATGTGTCCATCACACAGGCCATGGGCCCCATGTCACCCCTCCTTTATCCCATCCCATCCTGATTTATGGGTCGACTCAATAATAATTCCCTTACCTGTAATCTGTTACACAGGCGATGCGTCCAGTCTATTCTTTAGACGTCTCAAAACAATCTGTGTTTACATGGCACATGTGTCTATGCTGTCTCCAGGCCTTCAACCCCACTCTCATATATATATAAATATATATATATATATATAAGGCGTTTTCCATGTGCTTATCTTCTCACATCGTCCTTCTCCTGCTGTGATCCCTGTACAGGCCATGAGTCCCATGTTGCTCCTCCCCGCATTCTTCCAATTTCTCATGTGTTCCTTTTGAGAATTTTCATCCTTTTGCAATCCGTGTTACAGGCAATGGGTCCCATGTGGCATGGCAGCACTGCCCCACGAATACACAACAAGGTACGCTCTTGTCAATACTTTTCCCGTAAGTTTACCGTAGATTTCTTTATTTGTTCCATAGCTCGCATGCATTATTCGTGTATTTCCAATTATTTTCCCCTCTGCACCCTTTCTTATCCCCCCACAGACGATGGCAGAGGCAGTGGGAGACTGGTTCTTTGACAGGCAGAGTGTAGCCCTTGTCGATTGTAAACACCCCTGTAATCCCACATGCGCATGATTATAGTTGATTTTCTTTTGCATGCCACTTTGTGTTGCATGTAGCATTTATAGTTATGTAGATTGATGTTTTGTAAGCCACAGAAATAGTTTTTCCGTACCCATCATCACCCCAAAAAGGTGGCGTCTCGCCAGACCAACTGCAGCATTTCCCCTGCCCAATATGGCAGCATGTGCGTGTTCTTCCACTGCTCGGTTACCGCTGCCCGATTGACTATCTTATAAATTGGTTTACCGTCTGTTACATGTGCAATGAATCGAGGTAGCGAGGATTGCACTAAAGTGTCAAACGAGTACAAAGTATGGGCGAAGGCATGAGCGGATACTTATACGCGAAAACATGCAAATGGTAACGCGCTGCGTGTGAGCTAGCTAGTGCTACGCTGGCGTGAGGTTCGGGCTAGTCCCGAAGCGTAGGCCGACTCGGGTTGGCCAGCAGTGCGAGGTTTGGTGAAACAGTGCGCGCGAAGTTGGCGAAGCCCTGTTAGCAGTAACGGGCGAACAACGGTTGCTGCTGTACACGATGTTGACAGTCGCGATAAGGAATGTCGAAAAAATTCCGTCCACGTCCACGTCCAGGTCCACGTCCAGGTCCACGTCCACGTCCACGACTGCTACCACGTCCACGTACACGACCACAACCACGTCCACGTACACGTCCACGACCACGTCCACGTCCACGACCACGTCCACGTCCACGTCCACCACTTCCACGTCCACGTCCACGTTCACGACCACGCCCACGTCCACGTCCACGACCACGTCCACGATCAGGTCCACGTCCACGTCCACGTTCACGTCCACGACCACGTCCACGTCCACGACCACGTCCACGTCCACGTCCACGTCCACGTCCACGTCCACGACCACGTCCACGTCCACGTCTACGTTCACGTCCACCCTCCCCTCCCCACCCCCCCTCCCCCCCCCCCCCCCCCCCTTCTCTCCCCCCCTGCCCCCCACGCCCCCCCAGGAAGCCCCCTCCGCTACGCGTGTGCGTGAATATCGCAGAAACCCTGGCTCCAGGTTTTTTTTTTTGGATTTTCACTACTCGGATTTCCAGAGCTGTTTTCTAGGGAACTCTGAAATTCAGGGTTCATTATGAGCGATACTCTGATTTGTCAGAGAAAACTTAACTTCTGAAAAATATACTATGGGCAGTCAGTATACCCATACTTACAACTTTGAGGGCGCGGTGCTTTTGGCGCAAATGCCTAAGTTTGCCTTTTCTAATCGAATTCACCCTTTTTCTCAGCTCGATTGTGGAGTCGAAAAGTTGCTTAGGGAAGTTCAAGTCGCCGGGCCAATTTCTGGTAAGTCAAATGTGACCATCGAGGTTTGGAAAAAGAATTGCGACCCTAAACGAGCCACGAGGACACCAAGTAGGTTACCCGGTGTAGAGCTCCGAGGGGTGCAATCCAAGGAACCAATGCGAATGAACCAAACCAGGCTCGAGGCGCACACTGAGAAATGCACGCTTCGAGCCAGGGACAGGTAAATTCACTAACACACACTCACTCGTTGCTTTTCTCTTGTTATCCTTTCATATAGTGGATCGTTGTTACCTTCATCCTACGGCTAGGTGACACACCACTCAGGGAGGACCCTTGAGGTGGGAGCTTTGTCTCTTCCATAACAAGAGAAAAGGGAGGAGTGCGTGCGTGCAAGGATGGACGATTGTGAGTTGCGCTATGGCAGGACGTATGGTCATCGCGAGGAGGATCGCGCATGGCGCGGACACTCGCGTGAGCGTGGGCGATCGCTGGAGAGATCGCCGCGGAGGCCTGCCTTTCGCGCGGATCAGGTGCCTCTCGCGTACGAGCGGCGAGCGGGCGGATCCGCACGAGAAGGAGCGGGCGGATCGGGATCGGCCCTGGCGGACAGTGATCCGTGGCGGACGGAACCGCGCCACAGAGCGGGGGGCGATCGTGGGTATCGTCAGGAGACGGGAGCGTACCGCTCGCCGGAAGCAAGCTACCGCCGTCGCGAAGATCGGAGCCGCAGGCGAGGCTTGGAGGAACTGTTTTCGGGCCGAGAGGGAGACCTCAATGCTGACGGAGAAGGAGTGGACGAGAGCACGGACTCGTCGCAGGGATTCGAGCGCGACGACGTGGCCGATGTTGGCGGCGGAGTCAGGAGGAGGGCGCAAGCGAGCAGCACGACATGCCTGCGGAAGCAACGGAGGCAAACCCTGCTAAGGCAGGCGAGGCGGAGGAGACAGCCGGAAGTGGCACCGTACGAAGCGCGCGTGAGGAAGCGCCTGTTTCTGGACAGCAGGCGCACGGCGGGGAGCAGGGCGGCCACGCATCGCGCGCGCCAGACCCGCGCCAGCAGAATGACGGAGAGCGGGGAAGCGGTCCGCGCGCGCCAGATCTGCGCCCGCACCATAACGTAAGGCGGGGAGGCAGGTCGCGTTCGCCTGAGCCACGTCAGCATCGTGATGGGAGACGGGGAAACAGGTCGCGTTCGCCGGATTCAGGGAGGCATCACAGCGGGAGATGGGAAGACGGATCGCGCTCGCCAGATCTGTGGAAGAATCGCAGCAGGAGGCGGGGAGGCGGATCGCGCACGCCGGATTCGTGGAGGAATCGCAGTGGGAGGCGGGGAGACGAGTCGCGCTCACTGGAGCCGCGTCAGCAGCATCACGGAGCGCGGGGAAGTGGGTCACGCTCGCCGGATCGGCGCCAGCGCCACGAAGGGAGGTGTGGGGGCGAATCGCGCTCGCCAGCTTCGTATCGCTACCATGACGGGAAGCGGGGAAATGGGCCACGCTCGCCAGATCTGCGCAAGGACCAGGAGAGGAAGTGGGAAGGCGAGTCAAGCTCGCCAGATCGGCACCAAGAACGGGGTATGAGCTGGGGAAGCGAGCGTCGCTCGCTGGATCCGCGTACGCGGCGTGACGAGAGACATGGAGACGGGCAACGCTCACCAGAACGTGATCTGCAGCAAGGACAGAGAGGGAGATGGGAGGAGGAGTGGCGTGATACAAACGTTATGGGCAGGAGGGAAGGAGAGCTCCGCGTTCCCCGACACCTGAGAAGTGCTGGCGGCACCAAGGGCGAGGGGAAGAGTGGACGCGGGCAAGTTACTCACCAGATCGGCGAGGGAGGAAGAGTGAGGAGGAAAGGCGATGGGAAGCAAGGCAGGATCAGCACAGAAGCAAAGGTGTAGGCAGCGGTCTGGCATATAGCATGGAGCGAGCCAGAGAAGCAAGGAAGGGGATCGAGCGAGCCAGAGGAGGAGGAATGTTAGGGAGGCAGGAAAGGGGAGCAAGTGAGTCATGGGGTGAGGGCGTGGAAGTGCAGCGATGGCCACACGGGTGGAAGTGCCGGCGCGGTTCTCAGGAGACCAGCGCGTGGGGCCTACACTGAAGAATTATTTGATGCAAGTGGGAAATGTGAGATATAGGTGTGAGCGGAGCGGCATGGATGCGGTGGATTTCTTCCTAAGCCTGCCTAATACACTGGAGGGGGAGGCAGAGACGTTGTACAGAATGAAGATGGATGAATTACTTGAGAGGGCGGGCAGGTACGGGGAAGACCCTACAGAGGCATTTCTGAGGCGGCTGCAGCGGCAGTTTCCCGGGCATACGGCAGAAAAGATAAGGGAATTTCAGGAGTTCCGAAGGGGGAGGAGTGAGTCATTGCTCATCTATTACAACCGGCTGATCAACCTGGCAGAGGACGTGACGTGTGGAGACATGGGCCTGTTGGTCAGCAAGTTCTGGGACGGGCTGGACAACACCATGGGAAATGGGCTGCGCATGAAGGTGTATGAGATGGGGGCAGACACAACGCTGGATGAAGTATTCGAGTTGGCAGAAAAGATGGAGCTGGCACAGAGAAAGTATGAGGCATATCGACCCAGGACCATGGAGCGAGGCCGAGGGCCGACTTGGGCAGCAGCGATCATACCTGAAGAGAAAGACAAGGCAGTGGGTCGAGGAGAGAGTAGGCCAGAGACACGGACATGCCACAGATGCGGACAGCCAGGGCACATTCGCAAGGACTGCAAAAACTGCGACAGTTGCGGGAAACCAGGGCACCGGCGACGGGAATGCCCTGAAGCACCGAAGTGTGAAATCTGTGGAAGAGGTGGACATGCAGCAAAGGACTGTTACCAGCGAGAGGGAGCAGCAAAGAAGAAGCTGGAGGAGCAGGAGAAGCAGATCAGCCGGCTGCAAGCGCAGCTGCAGGCATTGAGACCGCAACGTGAAGCAGAGGCAGGGATGTATGCCAGGGATGAGGAGGAGGAAGATGTAGCACAGGAAGAGCAGGGCGCACTTATGGCGTGGGGAGTGAGGGAGGATGATGAGGTAGACCATGAGGAGCAACATGCATACATGGCATGGAGAGGGAGAGAAGAGATGGGGCTGCGCAGCGGAGGCAAGGATGGGCGAAGGGAACAGGTGAGGAAGGAGCGGGAAAAGGGGCAAAAGCCGGAAGAGAAGGAAGAGAGATGCACAGCTGCACGTCACCCGCAGGAGCGGCTGGCATGTCAAACATCGGTGCTGCTGATTCAGAATGGAGCGCTGGCGGTAGAAGGGGAGAAGGCAAAGATAGCCATCATAGACACCGGAGCACAGAGTGTTATACTAGGGAAGGGGATGGCCGAGAAGCTGGGATTGTGGGCACCAGACAGACATGTGATGAAGGGGATGCTAGTGATGACAGCAGAGGGAGGAGAGTCAAAATGGATGCCCTGCACAAGGACTCCGATAGAACTAACGGTGCTGAAAGGGGAGAAGCATGAGACGCCTGTCAGAATCAGATGTGGGATTT